GGCGCCTGTGGTCCCAGCTACTTGGGAGGCTGAGGCAGGAGACTCGCTTGAGCCCAGGAGTTGGAGGTTGCTGTGAGCTATGATGCCACGGCACTCTACCCAGGGTGTAGGGGACCAGCTAGAGGCTCTGTCTCAAAAAAAAGACTGCACTTAGAGAATAGCTTGGTATGAAATGTGCTTCTCATTGTAGATACAAAAGTGTCTGCAATTTCAGTTATTGCCTTTTGAACCTAAGTTTATCTGTTAGGGTCCTTGGGGTCCTTGTTTGTAGTGCTTTAGTTCAAATTTCATTGAAACGTGACCTGGGAACATGATCTGTAAAATCTGCTTTTTAAAAATTTATCTCATTTTTTGTTTTTTTGGGCTTGTTTTGTTTTTGAAACAGTCTCAGTCTGTCAGAGAAGCTCTGAACCTTTGTCACCCTCGGTAGAGTGCTGTGGCATCACAGCTCACAGCAACCTCAAACTCTTGGGCTCAATTGATCCAAGGACCCTAACAGATAAACTTTCTCTTGCCTTAGCCTCCCAAGTAGCTAAGACTGCAAATGCCCAATACAACGCCCCACTAGTTTCTCTATTTTTAGTAGAGACAGGGTCTCACTGGTGCTCAGGCTGGTCTAGAACTCATGAGCTCAAGCAATCCACCTGCCTTGGCTTCCCACAGTGCTGGGATTACATACAGAGGTGAGCCACTGTGCCCAGCCTGTTTTTGTTCTTTAGTGGCAGACCACCTGATTGTAGTTGATCAAACTAAATTTGCCAAAACTGCTTTTAAGAGAAAAGTATACTCTCCATACTGAAGGCCTGAGAGTCTATGTAAGGCCTATGAAATTGAGTGGGTTGATTATTCTATTGGATTTGCTTTCTGAAGTTGCTCAGTTATGAAAGATTATATTGATGTAAATTGGATATGACTTCATGTACCAGTATTAGAAATGGTTATGTATTTAGTTGCTGTGTGGTTTGGTACATGTAACTGGATGGTAAAAATGTTGCCACTGCTGCTTTGACTTAAATTTTCCTGCCCATTTTTTTGCTCTTCCCTTATTTTCAACCTTTTTAAAAATTGTCTTTCTCGGGTGTTTTCATGAAGGCAAGATTAGCTGGGTTTTGTTTTTCACCCACTTGCCCAGTCTCTCTCTGTCTGGGAAGGTTTGGGCCATTCACGTGGGGCTGTGAAGTCGGGTCTTAGTCACTATGCCTCAGGCCTTCACTTTACTTTGTGGCTTTCTCTTTCCCTTTCACTCTGTCTTGCTGGCTTGATGAAGTCTAAGTCCAGATTTTCTTCCTGTGGTCCCAGTTACTTGGGAGGCTAAGGCAAGAGAATTGCCTAAGCCCAGGAGCTGGAGGTTGCTGTGAGCTGACGCCACGGTACTCTACCAAGGGCAACAAAGTGAGACTCTGTCTCAAAAAAGAAAAAACAAGATACTAATGATTTCCCCACACCAGATTTTTCTTTTTTGAGGGGATTCATTTTCAGTCACTATCAAAGCCAGTCCAAGGGCTGGGCAGACTCACTGCAGCTGCACTGGACACCATTGCTCTCTGCTCGCCACAAAGGGCTCCAGTTTCAAGACCCCTTCATCTGACCTTTTGCTCTTCCTGATCCCACGTGGCCTGTTGCCACTGACCAGTGGCTGCCTGGCAGGTGGGACTGGCATGAGGAGGGGTCTTTTATTTTCCTGATTGAGAGCTACGGCCTTGAGTTGAGTGTATACACTCAGAGGAAGCATACCTGCCTAGACGTAGGGTCTGTGTGGGCCAATGTCCACACATCCTATGCCCAGAAGGGCCATTCTGTGGCTGACACCACCCAGAGGTGATGGCTGTGTTTGTGGTGAGCGGATGCTGGAGAGCCGTGTGGTGAAGAGTTTGACAGCCCCAGAACCAAAAGCTCAGAGCTGAGTGACACCATTTCCAGCCCCAAGTATCCTCTGTCATGTAGGCACTTGCCTTAGGAGAGAAAGTTCAGTTAATACTGATAAGGTCCTGGGGAATCCCTATGAGTGAGGGGAAAGATTTAGGCAGAATGTCTACCGTGTCCACTGAGGTTGGTTTTCTGAGCTGAACCACGCAAGGGGTTGGGAGAGATACTAGGGGGCGTGAACTACCTCACAAGGCGCTGCCCAGGCATGGGCACCAAGGGCCACCCTAGCTCCTCCACCCCCACCCCCAGCTGCCCCAGTGAGGACTGCAGAGGGGGAGACCTCAGAGCTCAAGGATGAAAGAGAACGTGCTAGCAACCAAGTGTAAAGAGGTGCAGGGTATGCAGGGCAACACTTTTCCCACAGACTCTGCCCAGCCAAGAGTTTCCTACTAGTAAGCATTTGAGTACAGTAGTTTTGGTGTCATGTGAGTTAACTGTTGTGAATCAATGTAAATATCTAAGCTCCCTCTCAACTGGCCTTTCCTGGTCCTATCTAGAGTGGGTTCAGTGTCTTTGCAGCTTGAGGTCCCCTCCACTCCACCACAGGATCCTGCTGGGAGGAGAGCTCGGGTTCACTGGAGCACTCAGAGCCAGGTCTGGATGTCCTTCAGCACCCAGGGCAGAGCCCAGTAACACACGCTTGCTTTTGTTTGGGCCTCGAGAAGACTGGCCGCAGTGCCTTCCAGTGCCTGCAGAAGTTCCAGCAGCACAACAAAGCCCTAAAACGCAAGGCATGGACAGAGGAGGAGGACCGCATGCTCACCCAGCTGGTGCAGGAGATGCGTGTCGGGAGCCACATCCCCTACCGCAGAAGTGAGGCTGCCTCCCACCCCAACCCTCCCCACCCGCAGAGTGCTCTGCTATCCCAGGGCCCTGGGGGCTGTGTTGTCTCAGCTGCCCCACAGTTGAGTTCTTTGTGGTCAGAGTGACCCTTTTTTAGGTGACCCATCTTGGAGGTGGGTGTCTTGGTCCCCAGAAGGCCCCTGTGTCCCTATCGTCCACTCTGGGAGGTGGGTATCTTGGTCCCCCAGAAGGCCCCTCTGTCCTTAGAGACCACTGTGGGAGGCACCCACAAGGCTCATGTTCTCCACAGTTGTCTACTACATGGAAGGGAGAGACTCCATGCAACTGATCTATCGCTGGACCAAGAGCTTGGATCCTAACCTGAAAAGGGGGGTCTGGGCCCCAGAGGAAGATGCTGTAAGTTTGTGGGGCCCAAGGAGAACTGGTCTCTGGCACTTGAACATGGCTATTGGAAGTGGCTGCTGTGCCTCTGATGTCCTTTCTTTGACCTCAGGGTGGGGAGGTTATGGCTATGTGTGCAGAGATGCCATGTATCTGCTTGTCCTTTCCTACAGAAGCTGCTCCAAGCTGTTGCCAAATATGGGGAGCAGGATTGGTTTAAAATCCGAGAAGAGGTGCCAGGTAGGAGTGATGCCCAGTGCCGAGATCGGTGAGTTGGTCAGCGCTGGGCAAGGGAGGGGCTCGCTTGGATGCATGTGAGGTTTGCTGTCACATAGGCCATGGCAGCTGCTAGGTGACAAGGCAGGAGTGACACACTGATGTAGGAAGAGTATATGGCTCATTTTTATCCCTTCCTACCAGGAACAAGATCTAGGTTGCACTGGAGATGGGGGGTCCTGGTCAGCAGTTTTCCTGACCCGTGGTATCTAAATTCTCCAGATCACTGATGGGCAGCAGATGCCCTCCCTCCTTTTCCTGCTTGTCTTTTGTTGCAAGTGGCTTCGCTGAGATAAAGTACATCCAATCAGTGTGTACTTGTGGAGCTGTGCGACCATCACCACAGTCAGTTTAAAAAGAAGCCCACTCAGCAACAAAACAATCCGATTCAAAGTGGGCACCATGCTTGAATGGACAGCTCTAGGGAAGACAGACACCTGTCTAGTAAGCACATGAAAAGGCATGCAGCCTCACTAGTCCCCATGAGGCACGAGTCAAAACCACACACAGATTGGGGTGATAGCTGCTAAAAGTTGAGATGGACACAGTGGCTGGTGCCTGTAGTCCTAACTCTCTGGGAGCCTGAGGCAGGAGGGTCACATGAGCCCTGGAATTGGAGGCTACAGTGAGCTGTGATGACACTGCTGCACTCCAGCCTGGACAGCAGAGCATGACCCATCTAAAAAAAGGGAAGATTGACCATGTGGGTGAGGATGTGGGGAAGCCAGAGCACTTGTCATTTTGGTGGGGGTGTAAAAAAATACAGCCACTCAGGAAGACAGTGTGCTGGCTCCTCAAAAAGTTAAGCACAGAATCATACCCCAGAAAACTGATACATCTAAAAAACCCTCCAGAATTTTGGAAGCCAGAGCTCAAACATGTCTGTGTAGCAGTGTTACATACAGTAGCGTCATTCACAGAAGCTCTAACAGGGAAACAACCCAAGTGTCTGTGGCCAAATGAACAAATAAAATATTGTCTGTCCAAACAATGGAATATTATTCAGCCTTAAAAAGAAATGAAATCCTAGTAAATACTATATTTCCACAAATTCTGGTACAACACGGATGAACCTTGAAGATATTATGAACCTTTATCTGCACTTTTTAGTGCAGACATAGCTGTTCATCTCTCTCAGGTCTAGCCATGGAGCTGGACTGCTAGGTCCCGTGGCTCTTCTTGTGTTTAACTTTTGTTGTTGTTGTAATTTTTTTTTTTTTTTTTGGCCAGGGTCAGGTTTGAACCCACCACCTCTGGCATTTGGGGCTGGCGCCCTACTCCTTGAGCTACAAGCGCCTCCCTGTGTTTAACCTTTTGAGGAACTCCCAGACTGTTTTCCAATATGGCTGAGCCGGTTCATGTTCCCACTAGCAGTGTGTGAGTGCTCCAGAGTTCCACCTTCTCACCAAGCCCATCATTCATTGTCTGTGGTTACAGCCCAGTTACAGCCTCCTAGTGGGTGTGAAGCGGCACATGGTTGTGGTTTTTTTCGTTTTCCTAGCAACTAATGATGTTTGGCATCTTTACATGTGCTTATTGGACATTTGTATGTGTATATCTTTGGAGAAACTTCTGTTTGAACCCTTTGCTCATTTTTTAATTGGGTTATAAAAGTTTTTTTTTTTTTTTTTAAGACAGAGCCTCAAGCTATTGCCCTGGGTAGAGTGCCATGGCATCACAGCTCACAGCAACCTCCAACTCCTGGGCTCAAGCGAGTCTCCTGCCTCAGCCTCCCAAGTAGCTGAGACCACAGGCACCCGCCACAATGCCCAGCTATTTTTTGGTTGCAGCCGTCATTGTTGTTCGGTGGGCCCAGGCTGGATTTGAACCCACCACCTTAGGTGTACGTGGCTGGCGCCTTAGCCACTTGAGCCACAGGCGCTGAGACTAAACGTTTTTTATGTACTTTAGACACAAGTCCCTTCTCAGATATGTGGTTTGCGAATGTTCTCTCCCAACTATGTGTTTTCTTTCAACTTTCTTGATGGTGTCCTTTGAAATACAAAGGTTTTAAATTTTGATGAAGTCCAGTTTATCTATATTTTTCTTCTATTGCATGTGATTTTGGTGTCATATCTAAGAATCCTGTTGCAGAAGCCAGGATGGTAGTAGAAGGTGTCTGTATCTAAAGTGTCTTTGTGTTCATGTCACTTTCAGGTATCTCAGAAGACTGCATTGCAGCTTGAAAAAGGGACGATGGAACATAAAAGAAGAAGAACAGTTACTTGAATTAATAGAAAAATACGGTGTCGGTGAGTTGTTGATTCACTTGCTCTTCCAGTTTCTACTAGCAGTGAGTTCATGGTACCAGTTTAGACACCACTGGGGGTTTGGGGTCTCCCCGATCCCAGGCTGCCTCCCTATGACCAGCTCTCTCCCACCTCACTTCTTGACAGACAGCAGTTATCCCCATACTACAAACTAGAGCACTTTAATTATAGAAAATCTAGAAGTACAGATGTACTCGTCCCCAGAGATAACCACTATTACTGGTGTACTCTTCCTCCGCATCCTCTATGCTTCTCTAGGAAGAAGCAGCTTCTAAAAATTGACTCATTATGTAACCGACTATATTTTACCTGACAATGTGTCACTAGCTGTGCTATCAGTATGAATAGTCCTCCATCTCTGCATGTTGTCTGCCCTGCTGCCCCTGTGTCCCAGGGCCGCAGTGTTTTCCTGATGAGCAGTATGCAGGTTATTCAACCTCCTGTCCACATACATTTAAATTATTTCCCACTCTTTGCTGTAGGGCTAGAATGAGCTGAGTTTTTTTATAGCTAAATCTTTGCTTATATTTGTAACGTCTACTTAGAATAAATCCTAGCTGTGGGATTGCTGGGTCCCAGGACACATAGAATGCTAAGGCTGTGCCTCCTGTGTCCAGCCGTCCTACAAACACCATGCACTGGCTGCCCTCCTGCCCATGTTGTCTGAGAGAGAACTGAAGTCATTAGAAACGTCTGGTTAGACATGGGGCACATGCACAAGGGCCACATTTGTGTATAAGCAGGCGATCCTTCTTCCTTGGCTGTGCATCTGCCCCACTTCCCTGAAGGGCTGAGGACCCACTGCAGATCAGGCTGCAGAGCTGTAGGTGTGCAGAAGTCCAACCCAGGTGCAGGCTGGGCGGCGTGAGGGTACACAGGAAGCCTCTTTTTCATGACCCCCAAGCAGGTCTCTAGAAAATAGCAGGCTCAGTTGGAAGCAGAATCTTCCTACTAAGTCGATAAACTTGTGCCCTCAAAGATTGTTGATTTGTATGAAGCAGTTTCCATGTGGTTTTTGCTTTTGTAGGTCACTGGGCAAAAATAGCTTCTGAACTACCCCATCGGTCAGGCTCCCAGTGTCTGAGCAAATGGAAGGTCATGACTGGGGTGAGACATTCGGTTGTCTTGGAGCTTTACCTGAAGTCAGACAGGAGGCCCTGCCACCAGGGAGCCACTGGGCAGAAAATGGGAGCGAGGGTGGTTGAGAGGGAGAAAGGGATGTACGTTTTCTGGCCCCAGGTGGCCAGGGGCAGAGGGACACAGCTGCCATCTGCCCAGAGGAGTCCTGCTCAGCTGCTTCTTAGAGGGCTGGCCTGCTGCCTGCTGTTGCCTGTTCTCCTTTGTCATTGAGCCCACATAGCTGAGACCTCCAGGCAGCCTTTTCCTCTCCTCAGAAGAAGCAGAGTCTGCAGAGGAGGCGGCGGATACCCCGTCGCCATCCCCAGTGGAGTTCCAGCTCCAGCTCTAGTAGTGGAGAGACCAGCAGCGGCAGCAGCAGAGACACTAGCAGCAGTGAGGAATCAGAGGTGGAGCTGGAGCAGGCCCAGGAGTGTGGCAGTGTGCCACTATCCCCACAGTATATGGTGCCGGACATGGATCTGTGGGTTCCTGCCAGACAGAGCACTAGCCAGGCCTGGAGAGGAAGAACGGGAAGCTGCCCAGGACACCTTGCTGCCTCCCCCAGCCATCCCCAGGGGTCCAGTGCCGCCCAAGCTGGCGGCAAGGAAACTCCTGGCAAGGAGCTGAGCCAGGCACAGGCTCCCTCCAGGACCCACAGCACTGCCCTGAGGGGTGTCCAGTGCTCACACTTAGCAGACCCTGACCCAGCGAGCTCAGAGGGGCTGGCCCTCAAGGTAGGCCCCAGGATGTGCCCCAGAGTATGTACAAGGAGGGGGAGTGGGTGCCCTGTGCTCTTAGTAGTCACCACAGCTAGGGCTCGGAGACAGCATGGCAGTCCCGCCACCAGCCTGGTCCCCAGGTATAGATGGGCACCCCTTCATTGCTCATCAGAATATTCTGGTTCCTGCTGGTTTGGGAAAATGGTATTCCAGGCAGCAGCTTTCTCTGCTGAGGCTGGGAGTCTCCATTTTCCCCAGCTTGTCTGAGGAGACTTGGACTTGGAGGCATTTCTGAAATGTCTCATCCCCTAGTTAGGGAGAAGGGAGGAAGAGGCAGCAGGAAGGAGCCATTTCCTCCCAACCTCCTAAGTCACCGAAGTCCTCCCATGAAGGGCCTCTGCCCACCTGCTGGGGTCTGACCTCTCTAGCCAAGTGTCTGCCTGTCCTGGTTGGCTTGTCGGGTGTTGGGGCCCCCTGGACACCTGCAGTACTCTGTGTCCAAAGTAGCCCTTTGGGTTGACCTGGCTGGTCTTCCCTGGAGTTGTTGGAGAGGACAGTGAGTCCCAAGGGAGCTGGGCAGAGTACCCTCGTAGAGCCTGCCCTTGGCCCGAGGAAGTGGTGAGGGCAGGGAACCCCCTGCTTTTCACAGTGGACTGCTCCTGCACAGCACGTGACTGTGCTTTGGAGTTGGGGCGAGTAGCTGTCTATGGCAGCACAGATGTGGGAGCCGTGGCTTAGGGCCTGATACACCAGGGGTTCCCACACAGCCTTACCCAGTTCCTTTGTCAGGATGGGAAACTTCTGAAGAAGGTGCCCCTACAGACGGTGCTGAGGGTGCTCAGGACCAACACGGCCACCTGGAGCCGCACGCTGGTGAGGCCTGCTGCGGGCTGCATGTCACACCCAGGAGTCCCCACCCAGCCTGCACGCTCCCACTCTGGTTTGAGCATTTCCCTCCCCAGGCTCTAAAGGAAGTGGGGGGCAGGGGCACTTCATGGGGCTCAGCCTGGCTGGGAGGCCCATGTATCTTCTCCCTGCAGAAGGAGAAGCTAAGGCAGCCGCTTCTGCCCAGCTCGTCTCTGGGGGCCAGCCCTGGCAACACCATGGCCAGGTCCCACATGCAGCAGCTGTGGCATGGAACCTTCCAGAATGGACGGCAGCGCTGGAGACATGCTCTGCACCGGAGGCTCCTTGATCGCAGGCTTCTGTTGGCTGTGACCCCTTGGGTGGGTGATGTCGTCCTGCCCTGTGTGCAGCCTCCCCGGACAACTGCTGCAACACAGACCCACGGTACTCCTCCAGCTCCTTTGGGAGCCTCCTGGAGGCCAGGCATGGAGACAGGAAATGCGCCCTGCTCAGTGCACAGTGGGGAAGTGGTCTCAGTAGGAAGCCTTTGGGACGGGCCACAGCTCTGTCCAGGTTCCTGTCCCCAAAGGTTTCAGTGACCACCAGTCAGGGTCCTGGGTGTTCTTCCTGGATTGAGCACAGGGGCAGCTGGATTTGGAGTTCTTTGGGTGGTGAAGGGCTCAGAGGGACCACCCTTTGTCCAGTGGTGGTCATATGGTGCCAGCTCCGAGGCTGTGTCTCCCACACCTGCCTGGTCCCTAGTCCTCAGGGCTCTTGGGCCTCCAAGAGAGGAGTGTGGTAGTGGAGCCACTTTGTACGTGTGCCCTTGTCCCCTAGCCGATGGCCTCAGGAGGCAGCTGCAGCACATGCGCCTGGCCAGCACCCCGGTGTTCACCCTGTTCATTCAGGTGAGCCCTGAACAGAGCTTGATTTTCTTTTGCTCTGTGTGTGTATGAAGTCTCAGAGTTGGCAGTAGGTTCATTCCTTAAAGTTCAACCTTCCACGGGTCCCAGTTCTTGAAAACTTACTTCCCTGTGGCTCACACCTATTAGCAAATGAACGTGGAAGGGGCAGCTAGCTGTTGAGCACTCGCTGCCACCATTGGTTAAACAGTGTTCTGGGAGTGGTAAGAGGTGCTGGGACCAGGCATGAATGAAGGGGGTGAAGCTCAGGACACAGTGGCCGCCTGAAACAGAAGTCAGCATCCACGTCAAGACAGGAAGGCTGGGGGTTCGTCCCAGTCAGGAGGACGGGAAGGCTGGAGGTTCAGGGGCAGCCAGCATAGCTTCAGGCTGCTTCAGGCTGCTCCAGGCTCCAGCTAAGGGCTCTGATGACCCAGCCCCATGGGGTCTGGGCTGGGAGGACAGGGAGTTTTGCTATCCCTGTGCCCCTCCCCTTAGCTGCTCCAGATCGATACTGCTGGCTGCATGGAGGTTGTTCGAGAGAGGAAGGTCCAGCCTCCTGGGCTGCTCCAGGCTGGACCTCAGGACCCCCTACCACATCTTCTGCAGGTAGCAGGCACTTGGGGTGAGAAGTAAGGGTGAGCACTGCCTTCCCTGATACGGTGTGGGCTCCCAGGAGGGATAGGACCCCCCAGCCAGCTCTGCTGTGCCCCTTCTAGGGAGGCATCTGCGTGGTGCCACGCAGGGACTGCATCCCTTAGAGATTCCGGGGAGTTCAAGGCAGTACAGATCGAACTGTCACTAAAATGTCTCAACTGCCTGGCCTATCTCCCCATAATACTAGGCATTAGTTAGGAACCATGGGGACCGTCTGCTGGGGTGCCTGGTTCTTGCCTTTCTGCTCCAGAAACCAAATTGGCATGAACTCAGTCCATGAGAAGCCTCACCCCAGAGCCCTGTCACCTGGGGCAGGGGGCAACAAAATGGTGTCCTGGTCTGAGGACCAGACGCAGCTCTGTGGTGCTGCCTGGGCCTTGGAGCCCTCAGCCCCCTGCCTTTCTTACAAGCCCCATGCTGCCCCGACCCACCGAGGAGTGCACTCCAGGGCACCCAGGGAGGAGCTGCACCAAACAGGAGGCTCAAGGCCTCTGCATCGTGCAGAGGAGAGTGTAAAGCCAGGTCTAGTACTTAAGCCTTGTCCCCTTGCAGGGGAAGTGGCAAGAGATGGTCTAGGTGTGGGGAGAAGTGGTCCAAGCCCACAGGGGATGTGAGGGCTAACTGTCCTCTCCTTTTCAGGCACCTCCGAGCGCCCAGAGCACCTCAGGTACTGCTGATGCACTTCTGTCTTGCTAGGGAAAGGCATGACCTGCCACTGGCCTTGTGCCACGGCCTCTGACCCGTAGCCCCTGGTAATGGAGTCTCATTTGAACTCCCCCCCTACACACAGAGATAAAAGGCAGACTTGGCACTCCCATTTGCCCCTGCTGGGCCCGAGGCCTCCCTGGCACAGGTGCCAGAGCGGGGCCACTTTGAGTGAGGGCTGTCTCTACCAGCGTTGCTAGTCTGCTCACAGCCCCTGCAAGCAGATGGGGCAAGGCCTGGGCTCCTGGGGGGTGATGCTTTGTTAAGTGAGGAGTAGGGAGCAGTGGTCCCCAAAAGTCTTGGCTTTCTCAGAGATGTTAAAGATATAGGGGTTAAAGCGTTTGAGGTTGCTGTAAGCTATGACTCCATGCCATTCTACTGAGACTGACAAAGTGAGACTTTATCTCAAAAAAAAAAAAAAAAAAAAAATGTAGAGGCTGGCCTGTGCAGAACATCCACTGCCCTGGCTGACTGGGGTGCTAGGGTTGGGATACCCTGAGTAGGGAGACCTGGGCCAGGCTCCCCTGTCCAAGTTCTAACTGATGCCCAGCAGATGGGCCCTTCAGACATTCAGATCTGGGGTCTCTCGTCCCTGTAGGCTGCCTTTTACCAGATGCAACAGTTCAGAAAGCTACAAAGACTGCCACCCATAGAGGGCTGGGTTCCTGCCGTGCAGTGTGCGCCCCCCACCAGGTGTCGCCACCAACTCCATGTGGCCCTCGGCCCAAACCCAAGACCGTGTCAGAACTGCTTCGGGAAAAGCGGCTTCAGGAGGCCCGTGCCAGGAAAGCAGCCCAGGGCCCCACAGGGCTCCCACCTCGGCTGCTCCTCTCCCCACCGGTGGTCCTCCAGGCCCCCCTTCTCCCAGCCCCCCATGGTCCTTCAGCCTCCAGTTCTGTCATCTCAAACATAGCACCCTCTGGGCTGGGGATCCCCGCAGTGGCCAGTCTGATCACTTCTGCCTCCCAGCAGGGGGTTGGAACTGCAGCCAAGGACCAGGGATCCCCCACACTGCAAACCTTGCCCCATGGGGTTTCATCTGTGGCCCCTGCCCTCGGCCCAGGCCAGGTCCCCATGAACTGCCACCTGAATGGTCTTGGACAATCTCAGGCCCCTGCCACATCCCAGAAGCAGGGCCTGCCAGAGGCACTGCCCTTCCTCCCTGCAGCACCTAGCCCCACTCAGCTGCCCATCCAGCCCCTCAGCCTGACACACAGGGGTGGGCCACAAGTGGCAGCTAATGTCCCCCTGCCTGTCAGCTGGGTGCTCACAGCCCAGGGGCTGCTTCCTGTGTCCATGCCAGCTGTGGTGGGCTTTCCTAGACCAGCAGGGACCCCTGACCCCTCAGGGGTGCCAGTGACTGTGCTACCTCCCCTGCCTGAGACTTGCACAACCCAGGGCCCCAGGGCCAGCATGGATACAAGACCAGACCTTTCCTCCAGTACAGGCCCCTTGGCTTCTCCCACACAATCCTTATCACAGAGCCCTGCCGAAGTGGATGGTGACATGGCCTGTGTGCCCAGGACACTTCCCCGGGCTGACCACCCTGAAGCAGGGACCCCCCAGTCCAGCCAGCTGCCTGTCTGTGCTGGTTCTGGCCCTAGGAGTGAGCCAGGAGGGCTGCTGGGATCCCCTTCAGGGACACGAGAGCCCAAGGGGCCCCAGCCTGGGCTGGAGAAGGGTTTCCTGGACCTGAGCCTGATCTCCCAGGATAGTGAGGTGGCCACACGGGAGTGGCTGCGGGGACAGCATGGGGTGTGTGTACCCCCACTGGGGAGCAGGCTGCCCTACCAGCCCCCTGCCCTGTGCAGCTTGAGAGCATTGTGCGGCCTCCTGCTCCACAAGAAGGCCTTGGAGCATAAGGCCACTTCCCTGGTGGCTGGTGGGGCAGCCAGGGATGAACCTGAGGCAGAAACCCTACAGGCCTCTCTTGAGCTGGTACGGAGACAGCTCTGGGACAACCCTGCCTACCTCCTGTTGAAGGCCCGATTCCTGGCAGCCTTCACCTTCCCTGCATTCCTGGCTACCCTGTCTCCCCATGGCGTCCCCACCACCCTCTCAGCAGCCACAGGGGTGGACTCAGAGAGTGAGGATGAGGACCTAGAACAGGCAGAACCTACAGACAAGCATGGGCAGGGAGGTTCCGTGGCACCTGCAATCCCTGTTCAGGTAGGGTGGCTTCCAGCTGCAGCTCCACTTTCACAGCAGCACCTTCTCCTGCCCTTGCGTGTCTGGCCTGCCCAGAGCTGGTGTGGGACAGGCGGAAGTCGCGGGCAACAGTGCTGGCTGTTGAGTTCCTCAGGAGGAGGAAGCTGGCTCTGAGCCCTCCTGCTTGCATGTAGTTTGTGCAGAAGTTGTCTCCCTGTCTGGGGCAGTGTGGGGGACAGAAGGGGACCCTCACTGCTCTTAGGCGACTCACTAGCTCAGGTTAGGCACACAGGTGTACACTGCTCGGTTGACTATCAGCACAGCATAAGGCAACAACTCTTTCTGTCCCTCCCTGCATTTCTGGGGGCCCAGAGTCCTTAATGTGTCACTTTCCTGACTGCATGTGGGGCAAGTTTTCTAAGCTCTGGGCAAAACTGCTGTCCGTATTTCCCAAGAAGCCTGAAATAAGCAGCATGTGGTACTATGTCCCTAAATCCTCCAGGGCTGCACCCCAGGAGCCCATAGCAAGGCCCCCTTCTCTGTTACCACTTGGAGCAACCTGGGGGTAGTCATGGAGAAGGACAGCAGCTCCTGAGAGCTCCCAGGAAGTGGCTTCTCCTTCCCACCTGAGGCAGTCTGGGCAGCTGTGCCTGTGGGCCCATCTGCTGGGAGCATACCTGTCTCCCTCTCTAGGGCTGCCACAGTGAGTGGGCTGCATGGTCCCCCCCCCTCCTGCTTAGGACTGCATGGGGCCCTTCAGGACAGCAGGCTGGCGGCCAGGGCACTGCTTAGATGAGGGGACTGGGAAGCCAGAGCCCACATCATGGCTCTAGGGGGTATGCCCTAGAGCATCCCCATGGCAAATTCTTGCCCCCTGTGGCTGGAGGTCACCCGTCTCCCCTGCTTGGATTTTGTGTTTTAGCAGGCCCTAAACTCTGGTGAGGGCTCTGCGCCCCCCTGCCTGGATGCTTCTGTCGACCTAGATGTTGATGACCTGGATGTGCTCAGAACCCGGCATGCTCGGCACACGAGGAAGCGGAGGCGGCTGCTGTGAGCAGTAGGTGGGTGGACAGGGCACCACTCGGCAGGGGGTCTGTGCAGCTGTGCCCAGGCACAGCCCCGCCTCATGGGCTGTCAGGACAGACAGTCCCACAGTTGGGCAGTTGGCACAACTTCACCCTTGGTCCCTGTCTCTCACAACACTGCCTGTGAGGTTTGGCTGGTATGCCTGGGACCCCACCAGGGTGTTTTCATTCTAGGGCAAGGATACCCCAAAAGCCACTGCTGCAGCTGAGAAAAGGCAGGGCTCCCATGTGCCCGTCTGCCCCACAGCTGCCATCATCCTAAAGAACAAAGTGGCCAGAAGCCCAGGCAGTGCTCAACTGCCACCCACTGACTGATCTCTGTCCACAGTGGATAGGGGGAGGCACTTGAAGTGACTGTCATTCCTGGGTTTCACCAGGTGCAAACCTGAGCAGCTGAAGGAATAAAGTTCTACTTTTTAATTAAAAAGTAAGATGTGCTGTTGTGGTCTGTTGTCTCCTGCTGAGCATGTCAGGACCACAAGGGGACTGGGGAGGAGCAGCAGGGTTTGCCACCTCACGGGAAAGGTCTAGCTCTGGCCTTGAGCCTGTGCAGCTGCTGGCCCTCCTGCCACCCAGGCTTGACCTTAGCAGGTTCCCTGGAACTAGTGGCCACCTAGCTGCCCAGAGTTACAGCAGCAGCTCCCTTCCCTCCACACCAGCCTCTGGCACAACAGATCCCAGTGGCAGCTCTGTCCCTCTCCAAGTCCTGTGTCCCTCTAGTGACAACACTCTCAGGTTCAGCTGTCCTGAGAGTGTCGTCACACAGTAACCACCATGGGCAGCCCATCTGCCCCATTCCCAGTGGCCAGCACACCCCCACCCCTCAGACTGCCTCGCTCCCGTGCCCAGCAGCCAGCACATCCCTACCACACAGTCTGCCTCACTTCTGAGTGTGTCACTCCATGCCCAGTACTCTACTAACTTAATTTTTGCAACTCCTATGACCTATGGCCAATTTAGAGGTTTGTTACTTAATTTCCAAATATTTGGGAATTTTCCAGATTATCTGTTACGGATTTCTTGCTTAATTCCAATGTGGTCAAAGAACACAACATGGTTATTAAATTTTAGGGACAGACCACAAGGAAGACACTGTTATCATTGCTTCACAAACAGGAAGCACTAGGCCAGGAGGGCTCACCACCACTGCCTGCACCCCTCAGTGGTGGCACCCAGGACCCACTTTAGCACCACATGCTCACTGGTGTGCTGCTGGCAGTGAGGAGGCCCAGGCAGGAGCATGACCCCTGGGAACCCCAGGAGAAGCCCTCACTGCCCACGCTCCATGTGATGTTGGGGCATCCTCCCTGCAGAGGCTACTAAGGGCTGGGTGGAGGCCAGGAGGCAGAGGGGAGACTGAGGGCTAAGACAATCAGAGGCTGGATGGGTGGGGAGCGGTTGGGTGAGGCCTACACTAGCTTCCTGACCTTCCTGCCCAGCTGCCCCTTCTCACAGCTGTGGAGCAGCAGCTCAGTTCAACCAGCTATACAGGGTGAGGTGAGGCCTGGGGTTCCCTGAGACTGCATCAGGGATGAGGCTATAGCCTCTTAGACAAGGATGCCAAGTGTACAGTCCACAGAGGGCCCTGTCGGGTGGGCCATGAGTACACCCTGCTGCCCAATCCTCCTGGGACCCCCCGAGTCCCCCATGTGCATCCTGGTGAAAAGGGAGGTGTAGAGTGGGGATGTTCCAGTGAAGAGGGTGACATGGAGAGTGTTGGGGGCAATGTGCTGTGTGAAAGGGACGGGGCAGGCCAGGGGATGGAAGGCACCCATGCCCCGGCAGCCTGTACTGGCCTCCTGCACCTGTCTCTGCCCTCTGGATCCCCATGAGGTGGGCTACCAGCTCTTGTGGGACCCAAGTGTGTGCTAACCACGCCATGGGGGTATGAGCCGGACTTGGGTGAGCTCTCCCCCACCACACTGTGGGCCCTGTGGGGTTAGCCACAGAGCCCCCCTGCTGCCCATAAGAGGCCTCTGCTCTCACTTCCACTTGGCAGGTACCAAAGCTGGGCCTCCAGGGTGGCCCCAGCACCCAGAACCCCTGACCACTGACGGCCCCTCAGCTCTCCTCTAGAGGGTGGAGGACTTCCCCTCCCTTCGCCCCACCCCCTGGGACTGCCCTGGTTGGGTGAATCAACAGGCAGCCACCAGGACAAGTCCTGGGAGGATTGGCAGCCTCACGGATTAGCCGGACGGTCAGGAAGTGCACAGGCGCCCCGTGCCTCAAGGGCTCCTCCCTCCCACTGCTGCCACTGTCTCCCAGAGGCCAGCTGCTGGCAGGCGTGTGGTGCAGGTGGCCCTGGAGGACCCCGAGGTAGGCAGGTCAGCTGGGCATCCTAAGGGTGGCTGGGAATACTGGGGCAGCTCTCAGTTTGGGATCCCGGAGAAAGTACCTCAGAGCCACTGTTCTGCCTGTCCCCATTCCAGCCACTGGTGGATACCTGCTGCTTTCAGTGGCACGGACAGTGGGAGTTGGTGTGGCTCGTGGGGATTTGGGGCTAGAAAGGCAGGCATGGAGCTGTGGAGTGTGTCTGCCTCTGTCCCTGGGCGGCATGGGATGACAGCGCAGCAGGAAGTTGAGAAATCCCTCCAGAGACCAGGCCTGCTGCAACCTGCGTCTCCAGGAGCAGGGCTCAGCTCTTCCGGTCAGGTGCTGTGTTTTCTGGGGGCTGGAGGCCGTCTGTGGGGCCCAGTCCTGGGAGAGCAGCTTCTGGCTTGTTGAGGTGTCCCCTGTGCTGGTGGAGGGGAACAGCAGAGGGTAGTCCCAGCATGATGGTCCCCTTGCCAAGGAACTGCCCTGAGAGCCCTTGGCAAGCGCCAGGGAGGGCATGGCTGGGGGCAGAGGAGCCCAGAGTTCACTGGTGCCTAGCACCCAAGACCTGAGGAAAATGCTGCAACAGCACCCTGGACCCTGTGGGCCACATTGCTAGACCCACTGATATGGGCAGGTCTTGCTCTTCCTAGATGGCACAGTGACACACAGCTGCTGGAAGGCTGAGTGGCCTCAGTTGCATCAAAGTACCCAAGGGAAGGAGGAGGGCACAGGTGGGGGGCAGGGTGCTGAGCAGGGGATGAGGAAGTCCAGCAAGATGGCGCCCTTGGCTGCCATGGAAGTGGGAGGGTCACAGCAAAACATGCTTCTCACTCAGCTTGGCCAATGGCTGGCCAGAGGCTAGAGCTCCCTCCCCATGGCCGCATAGGGATGTGCTGTCAGGCAGGGCAGCCTTCTTGTGCAAACAGCCCACCTGCCTCAATGTGGGGAAGCAGCTGCTCCACAGAGCAATTTGGGGGTATCTGAGGGCAAAGGGGAGAGAAGGGTCACCGTACAAGAGATAGCGTTCTCCTAGATCCCACCTGGCCCTGCCCCCCAGCTTGTGTGGGCAAAGTGGCAGAGAGCAGGGCAAGGCTCAGGAAAGGCCCACAGGCTGGAACCTGGTGTGGACTCCGAACAAGGAACAGGCTCTGGGCCTAGGTAGGAACACGAGGTGGCCACCTCAGCTGCTCCCCCTACCACTGCTACCAGCCACTGCCATGTCTGACTACGAGAACGATGACCAGTGCTGGAGCGCCCTGGAGGGCTTCCGTGTGGCACTTACCTCCATCATCGACCCCTCACGCATCACGCCCTACCTCCGCCAGTGCAAAGTCCTGAACCCCGACGATGAGGAGCAGGTGCTCAGCGACCCCAGCCTGGTCATCCGCAAGAGGAAGGCGGGTCAGTACGCACTTTGCGGGCAGGCCCCCAGACCTGGCCAGGAGCCACCCTCCTGCGGCTGTCCCTGGCCCCCCTCAAGCCCAACCCTGAGGGGGAGCCCCCTCCCACCCCCCCACCTCCCCCATCCCACCCCTACATCCCCAGCCCCCTATAGTCAGGGTGTGGCCTAGAGCCTCCTCCTCAGGCTAGATGGTGAAGATCCCAAGAGGCGGGTGGTGATACTTTGTGCCTAGCCTAGGAGCAGGACCTGTCGGGTGCCCGGCTCACCTGGGACCTGGACCACTAAGTGGGGGGACTCTCTGTCCCCAGCACGCCCTGTGCTCAGCTCCTGCCCCTCCCCCAGGTGTGCTCTTGGATATCCTGCAGCGCACTGGCCACAAGGGCTATGTGGCCTTCCTGGAGAGCCTGGAGCTATACTACCCGCAGCTGTATAAGAAGGTCACAGGCAAGGAGCCAGCCCGCGCCTTCTCCATGATCATTGGTGAGGCCCCTCTGCTCACGGCTTGCTCAGCCCAAGGGGCATGTGTGAGTCTGCATGGGAGGGTCCTGTTCCTGTCTGCTGGGCTGGGTCCCTGCCATATGAGGTGACTATTGGCCTCCACAAAGGAAGCGGCTGGGGGTGGCAACCCCTTTGTGGGGTGGGGCAGTATTCACCCAGATGTGGTGTGGCCCCAAAGACCTGCCCCCAGGCCATAGCCCCTGCTAAAGTCCCAGCAACCGAAGGGACAAAGGACACTCCCTTAGCAGGAAGTGTGTCCTGTATCTCCTTAGGACCCATCAAAGTAGACATGGAGGGGATGGCCTGGGCCTGGATGCCCTACGCCCTGATGTGGGGGGTGGCCCATAAGGTGGGTTAGAATCATGGGTCCATTTCTGCCAACACTGAGCTGCCCTGGCAAGGAGGCTGAAGGGCCTCCTTCTGCAGGAAGCCAGTTGTGTCCCCTCAGCTGGTGTCCCCCCAAACCTTGAGCTGCTGGTCTTTCTGCGGCCTGGGAATGACAGGCTCTGCCTGATACTGGCCTGGCCTGCAGATGCATCGGGGGAGTCCAGCCTGACGCAGCTGCTCATGACGGAGGTGCTGAAGCTTCAGAAGAAGGTGCAGGACCTGACTGCACTGCTGCGCTCCCAGGATGACCTGGCCGAGGAGCTGCGGCTGAAGGACGGGCTCCTGCGCCAGCACCAGGAGCACACACAGAGGCTCAGGGAAGAGCGTGAGGCCGGCAGCCGCGAACTCAAGCGCTGCAAGGACGAGAACTACGATCTGGCCATGCGCCTGGCCCGCCAGAGTGAAGAGAAAGGCGCAGCTATCATGCGGAACCGTGACCTGCAGCTCGAGGTGCTGCCCGCTCCCCAGGAACCAGCATGGGCCCCTCAGTGGGCCTGGGGGTAGGGGCCTGTAGGTGGGGACAGGCGGGGCAGGGGTGGCTCACGGCCCACTGCGCGTAGATCGACCGGCTCAAGCACAGCCTCATGAAGGCGGAGGATGACTGCACAGTGCAGCGCAAGCACACGCTGAAGCTCCGGCATGCCATGGAGCAGCAGCCCAGCCAGGACTTGCTATGGCAGCTGCAGCAGGAGAAAGCACAGCTGCAGGCCCGGCTGCAGGGCCTGGAGGCCTCTGTCCAGGTGGGTTGCAGCAAGGGTAGGGTGAGGCATAGGGCTAGGAGTGGGGGCCCTCACCACGGCTCTTCACCCCTGCAGGAGGGCAAGCTGGGCAGGGGCAGCCCCTATATCCAGGTGCTGGAGGAGGACTGGCGGCAGGCACTGCAGGACCAGCAGCAGCAGGCCAGTACCATCTTCTCTCTGCGCAAGGACCTCCGCCAAGGCGAGGCCCTGCGCATACGGGTAGGTGGGCAGGGCGGGGTGGGCTGTGCTGTGACCCCTGCAGGCCCCTGGAACCCACCCCCTGCCTGTATTCCCTGAGGGAAGGTCCAGCCTCTGAGCCCACAGTGCTTGAGGCAGAACAGTGGCTGAAGTCCCAGGGCCATGGCATGTGGGCTGAGCTGCTGCCCCCTGCAGTGCATGGAGGAGAAGGAGATGTTTGAGTTGCAGTGCCTGGCCCTGCGCAAGGACTCCAAGATGTACAAGGAGCGCATTGAGGCCATCCTGCAGCAGATGGAGGAGGTGGCCACCGAACGGGACCAGGTGGGGCCCCACCGCAGCACCTCCTGGGCCGGGGCCTGAGTGTTTCTCTAGAGACAAGAGTAATGCACACCCCTCTTCCCCAGCCTCAGCCTGCTCTCAGGAGAAGCCACATCCACCTTCAGGTTCCACCTTCCAGACTCTTGTCCACATCCTTATGGTTTTTGGTTTTGTTTTATAAAAATGGAAGCTTTCTATGTCTTGTTTTGCAAGCATACTTTTTACCCTAAAAAAGCAAACCAGGCCAGCCAGCACAGTGGTCACACCTACAATCCCAGCACTCTGAGAAACCAAGGCAGGTGGATTGCTTGAGCTCAGGAGTTCAAGAGCAGCCTGAGCAAAAGCAAGACTGTGTGTCTACTAACAATACAAATTTAGCCAGGCATTGGGGCAGACACCTGTAGTCCCAACTACTAGGGAGGCTGAGGCAAGAGAATCGCACAAGTCTAGGAGTTTGAGGTTGTTGTGAGCTGTATGATGCCACTGGCACTCTGCCAAGGACAACAGAGTGAGACTGTCGCAACAAAACAAAATAAAGTAAGATCAGGCATCCAGTGCCATTCTTGCTGCTTCAGCATCTCCCAAGCAACATCTGGAGTCATTTCTATTTAACAGTTGGTGCTTCAGGGAAACGTGGTAGTGGGGGATTTGGCTGTAGGTATTAGCACCCTTAAAATGCAGACCCCTCTTCACCATGCAGGAGCAAAGGCCTTGGCAGACCCCAGGCAGGCAGTGGTGGGGAAGCTCCCCAGTGAGGGGGCCCCTAGCCAGGGTCCCCTGGGATTGAGTCGGAGTATGTTGGGCTTGTCCTAAGTTGGAAGTGGGGACAAAATTTAGGTGGAGCAGCCAGTGATGGCACACATCTTGGGCATTCAGGGCCAGTGGCCACAGGGCCACTAATAGCCTCTGGGCTATTTGCTATGTCCTTGGTGTGGGTGACGGCCCAGTGGGGGTGGGACAGTTGTGCGCACTGGGAGGAGCCTCACACGGCTGCAGCACTCACATTGATACCAATCCAAGTCCAAAATTTACAAAATGCCCACAGGTGTGTGCCCAAGGGCCTAAAGGTCAGCACTGAAGGGGCACACTGGGGAGACGATGCAGGGCAGCAGGTCGGCCTTGGTGTTGAGCTTGCATATTTAGTCCATTCCCGCTCTCCTTACAAACCTTCATAACTCTATCCATGGGGAACAAAGAGGAAGAGCCTGGTGCTGGCCAGTCCCCTCTGAGCATCCCTGGTGGCTCTGGTTGGTAGCAGTAGGCTTCAGAGAGGAGCCAATCGCCCCGGCCCCCCACTGAGGGCCTGCTCGCTGCTGTCTCCCAGGCCATGGCATCGAGGGAGGAGCTGCACAAGCAGTTTGCACGGAATCTCCAGGAGAAGGACCAGCTACGCAAGCGGGTGCGCGAGCTGGGCGAGAAGGTGGACGACCTGCAGCTGCAGCTGTTCCAGCGCCAGGCCCAGCTTCGGGCCACAGAGGGCAGGCTCAGGCGGCAGCAGCTGGAGACGCTCATCTTGGTGGGTCTTAGGGTGCTGGGCAGGAGAGAAGCCAGGGACACAGGCACACGTGCGGGGTGCAGGGGAGGTGTGGGACCAGGACAGGGCTGCTGCCCCACTGACTGCCTGGCCCTTGCATGGCCCTTTCTCAATCCATGGAGTCTCCTTCTCTTGGTGGGGTGAGGGGTACAGATCAGCCCACAGGGCTTCCTGAGTGGCACATGGGACTGTCCACAGCAATGGCCACCCACCACTGCTGGTTGTGGTATCAGAGGGGCAGGTCCCTCTACCCAGCCGGATGTCTCTGGTCACCTGACGTCCCTTTTGCTGTGGCAGCAGAGCTCTGACCTGGAGGATGGCTCACCTGGGAACTCCCAGGAGGTGAGCGTGCCCCAGGAGTGCTGGGACCTCCATCCACCCCAGCCTGGTTGGGTACCAGAGTCCCTGAGCAGCTCTGCAGGCGGTGACAGCAGTCCCCCCCTGAAGGGACAGGGGCAGGAGCACAGCAGTAGCTCCCAGAATGGCCTGACTGGACAACCACCCTCTCGTTGGAAGCTCTCGTTCCCCCAGGACCTGGAGGACACCCAGCTCTCGGACAAAGGTGAGGGGTGTGTACCCGGAGGCCCCAAGGCTGTAGCCCCCATCCCCCAAGCCCATAGTCAGTCCCTCCTACTTGACATATGGGGAAACTGAGGCTCAGAGGTGGAGTAAGTAATTTGTTCAAGGCCACCCAGACAACAAACTAGAAAGCCAGGTGCCGAGGATGGCAGGGCCTGTGTTCCAGGAGGACAAGGCTCTCCTCGGGCAGGGGGTGTGGGTTCCCCTCCAGGCACCCTTGGACACAGTGCTGAGTTAGAAGGGCTCCCTGTCCTGCTTCCTCTCAGCAGACAGAGTGGATGATAAGCTGATGCCCAGGTTTGCATGGTGGGGACAGATAGGCCACACATGGCTCAAGGTCGAGTACAGGGAAGCTGAGGGCCTGCTATCTCCTGGGGCAGAGGAGGCTTCGAGCAGGTGGGGAAGGACCCCCTTGTGTCCACCCAAAATGCTACTGGTTGGCGGCTGGCAAGGAAGCAGCAACTGTGTGCCCTCAAGAGCTAGTAGTCCTGCCCTGGCAGAGAGGAGAGGTTTCATGGGAAGTTAGGTAAGACTTCCTCAGTGTCAGGCCTGACCCTGTCAACCAGCAGAATACAAAGGGGAAGAAGGGGTGGCAGTGAAGAAGTGGGGGCCTTGCAGCCTGACAGCCCTGCTCAGGCAGCTCCCCACTGTGGTTGGCGGGGCAGGAGTGGGCAAGGGAGTGTGCCAGCTCCAAGGAGGGGCTGTCATATAGCTAGCACCGCCTGGGCCCTGGCCTCTCCCCACAATGCTGCTGAGACTGGATGTACAAGGCCCTGCCTGGCCACCTGTGCACCTTCTTTCTGGTCTGCCCAGGCCCTGGGTTCTGAGGGGTCCTGTCTGCCCCTCCTGCTCCCACTTGCAGCAGTGCCCAGCCTCCTTGCCCCCGGGGAGCTACAGACACTGCTGAGGGCGTAGGGCCTGGCCAGACCTGGGCATAAGTAAGCACATTGTCCTATGGCCCAAGGAGCCTTCCTGGCCATCTGTCGTCAGTTGTTTCAGGGTACCTAGCTTGGGAGGAGTGGGCCCCTCCTGAGAGTGAGACAGCTAGTGCGGTCTCAGCCTCTGTCTCCTTGTCTATAACATACAAAGTCTTCACTGGATCTGTCGGAAGTTCCCACAGGACCTTGGTCCTGGATCGTGTCCCCCCACGTTAATGGGGCTGAGGGGAGGGGCGGCCATATTGAGCACAGCCCAGTGAGTAGGAAGGATCCACAGGCACAACTCTCCTTTCTAGGTGCCCTGGCTGGAGAGAACCCAGAGCAGCCCTTCGTGGCTCTGCAGAAGGAGCACCTTTCAGTGACCCCGAACGTAAGGCTGCCCTAGGGTCCCTGCCTGACCTACCCCTGGGGTGGGCCTCAATGTGAGCAACCACCTGGAGGGAGGTAACCTCAGCCTGGGCCATTCTCCCATGAATAACCCCTCACAAGGTCTCTGCCCTCAGGCTTTTGGTGGTGGGGGGAGTGTTTGGAACATGAAAGGGACCACCCTCCCTTCTCAGAGCAACAGGCTTGGGTGGACTTGGGCGTGGACATGACCGGGTGGATCGATGGCTATTTCTGGTTTCCTGGGAACCTTTGCAGCAGACCAGTATTGACCTTGGGTGGATTAACTCAGGAGTTCTGACTGCAAAAGGTTTTGGATTATTAGGAACACCTGCTGGGAGTCCAAAAGGCAAACGCCACCGGGGTAGCCTGGGCCCCGCCTGGTGGAGGGTGTGCACGTGAGCCTGCGGGTCCTTGGCCGCAGCCTGAGCCTGCCCTCCACAGGACGCAGGCCTGACCAGCGGGGAGCCCCCGGAGAAGGAGCGACGGCGCCTCAAGGAGAGCTTCGAGAACTACCGCAGGTGAGTCCGCTCAGGGCCCGTGCGGGCGTCTGGCTTCTGGGGGGTGGGACAGCATCTTGTACACCTCTGCTGTCCCGCAGGAAGCGAGCGCTCCGCAAGGCTAAGGACAGCTGCAGGCAGGAGGAGGCAGACCGCGAACACACCACAGGCAGTGACAACACGGACACCGAGGGCTCCTAACGCGCACATGGCGTGGGGGTCCGCGCCCAGATCGCAAGGCCTCCTTGCAGCAACGCGGGAGTCCGGGCCCCACCGTGTTCTGCCGAGCGGACTCGTTTCCGTGTCCTAACACACAGCCGTGAAATGTTTAGGGTGTGTTCTGTTTTTACTGCCTGATGCACTTGCGCTATGGAAGCGAAGTAAATAAATAACCGCCAAAGAGATGGTCTCGGCCACTGGCCTGCAGCGCTCCCTCCTTGCTGCACGCCTGGCGGTACCCGTGGGCAGCAGGGCGTGCGGAACCCGCAGGTTTGCGGCGCTTGAGCTCCGCACGTGTGCACAGCGCGTTTCCAGGGGGCAGCAGAGCGCCAGGCGTCCCGGCGGACGGAAGCTGAGTGGGTCCACTTCCGCCTGCGGTGCCCGCTTCCAAGATGGCGGCAACCCGGCTTCAGCTGCGGGGGGCGGGGCTGGGCGACCGGAGCCGGCGGGAGGGATGTTGCGAACAGCGCTGGGCGGCTTGACGAGGCTGCTGACCCGCGGGCGGCCCCGGGGGCCCAGCGTGAGGGAGCTGTGGGTCTGCAGAGCCCGCCTGGAGACTGCGAGGAGTCTGCAGGGTTGGGGTTGGCGGCACTCGAGCTCGGAGTCGGGGTCAGGGCGCGCGGAGGCGCTAGGGCGCCTGGAGGCGGCGCACTACCAGCTTGTCTACACTTGTAAGGTGGGCGTGCGGCGGGGACTCGGCGGTGCTCGCAACGGCGCTAGAGAGGAGGACCCCTTCAGGGCCTTTTGGGCGGGGGCGAGCTACGGGCAGGGGAAGAGACATCCTTCAAGGGGCGGGACCGGGCTATGGGAAGGGGGTGGGGTCATCTCTAAGGGGCGTGGCCTGTCCAGGCGAGATAGGGCCTCACAGGCTCTCTGCCCCCGGTAGGTGTGCGGGGCTCGTTCCTCCAAGCGCATCTCCAAGCTGGCCTATCACAAGGGCGTGGTCATTGTGACCTGCCCTGGCTGCCAGAACCATCACATCATCGCTGACAACCTGGGCTGGTTCTCGGACCTGGAGGGGAAGAGGTGAGGTGTACCGCAGAAGTGGGACCTGTGGGGCATCTGAGTCCTGGGTCGGGAGCCCATTTGGTGGGGTGGCAGGGCACGGGCCTGCCTGGGCACTCAACCCCGATTGTGGAGGTTCACAGGCCCACCTGGGCAACCCGCTTCCTTATCATTACAGGACACAGTTACACTTGGATTTCAGATGAATCACTGTTAGCTTTTCGGTATAAGTATGCCCCCAAGTTTGGGGCTTACTTGTATTTGCTAGATCTTACCATCCTGGCCAGCTCTTGTGCTCGCTACCCGACCTCCACCCTTGCTGAAGGCCTCCTAACTTACTGGTGCAGTGCTTCTGGTGTGGTTGGCCCCTGCTGGGGCACAGGGGTGTGGACCCAGCCCTGGCCCTGAGGCTTGCTCTCACCTCTCCCAGAAGAGCAGTGGAGGTGCCATCAGGAGTCCGTGTGGAGGCCCCTGACAGGGCACTATGGCTCCTGAGCTCAGTGCTCAGCTGGCAGTGTCAGTTGCAGAAGGTGTTCTGGGGCACCTGGTCTCCAGCAGTCCTCTTGTCAGACCTGGGACTGTGCAGATCCTTTCCCTGCTGACATGTGGGGAGCAGCATCTGCTGGGGAATGGTCACTTAGTGAGGGTCCAGGGCTGAGGCCTTTGTGGACATGTCCTACAGCAGTTAAGAGGAGCCCTCTTAATTCTTAGTTCCTGAAATGGCCCCTACGGGCAGAGACCCAAGGGTGGGTGAGTACACACAGGCCAACTGCCCAATGTACCCGCATGGCCTGATGCCACAAGGTGCTGGGACTGGTTGGTGCTCATGGCTTGACCTTGACTGTGGGGTGCCTCAAGGTACCCAGGTGCAGGAGGAGCTGCAGGGCCTAGCCAGTGACTGGTTGCTGTCTCTCAGGAACATTGAAGAGATCCTGGCAGCCAGAGGGGAGCAGGTGTGCCGAGTTGCTGGCGAGGGGGCCCTGGAACTAGTCTTGGAGACAGCAGAGGCCCCCACATCCACTCTTGCTATAGAAGGGGATGAGGACAAGGACTCCACCTACCCAGGCAAGATGGAGCCCAGCTGACTCCCACGCCCCAGCGCCGTGGGGCTTCTGCTTTCAGAAGGATGTTTCAGCCCTCGGCCTCTCTGGACTTGGCCTCTTTTCTATCAATAAACAGATATCACTTCCAGATGCTGTGGCCTGTGGCTGTGGTGTTTCTTTTTCTGGAGTCAGAAGGACAGCCACGAACCCCTGACGCTGCTTGGTGGGGCTTTGCAGCCATACTGCTGGCTCACCGCCTCTCCTTTGCCCACAGCAGGGCCATGTCCAAGTGTGAGGAGGCTGGATGTGGAGTCAGAGCCCCACTGGGTTGTGGCTATGTGGCCTTGGGTAGGTCACTCTGCCCCTCTGAGCCTCTGCCCTCCTGCTGTGGCCCCTGCTGCCCCCTGCACAGCACTGGGGACTTCCCTGCCATGAGCCAGTGCCGCTCTCAGTCCTATCTAGACTGGATACTGTGGCTGCAGGTAGCATCTCAGGAGCTTGGGAGGGGTCTGTGAGCCGGGGGCTGAATGTCCTGAGTCAGGAGCCAACATCCCTGTGCCCCTCCTTGGCGCTCATGGTTTGTGTCTTACCCTTGTTTGACTGTGTCTCAGGATGCTTCTGTTTATGAAAGTGAGCAGACGCAGGAGTGTGTTTATTTCCAGCAGTGTTCTGGGCCCTGTGACCTTCTGCATTAGTCACCAGCCCTGTCAGGTGCAGCAAGAGCCTTAGCAGGCTCAGCAGAGCAGAGCCTGTCAGGGTGGTGAGAGGGTGGGGGTGGCAGCTGACACATGGGCCAACCCCGCAGGCTTCAGCTGGTGATTACTGGCTCACGCTGGGTTGTGGAGGCGGGGGCTGTGGCATTGTCCTGGTGTGTGCTTTGACTCAATTACCCCCTGTCCTCCCCTCAGCAAGCAACCTTCTATTATTTCCACCCAGAGCCTTCTGCACCATGAGTGCTGTCATCACCCCAGGGCTGAACCAGCTGCACACCTGAGACTGCTTCTCTGTGGAGGGCCCTGAGGCCATGGGGCTGCTGGAGTTTCCTGTGAGCCATTGGGGCTGGGCTGGGCTTGGCTGCATGGCTGACTCCAATGCTCTGACCCTGAGTTTCCCACCAGGTAGTCACTAGCGCGAGTCTTATCATGTGCCTGCCTTGTTGTGTCTGGACCACATAGACCACACTGTCTTTCTCTATACCCTGCCTGTGTGCCCACCTCTCCATGCTCAGAGCAGATGAATAAATGGGTTATAGCAGCTTCACCCAGTATGGTCCCCCACCTACCGCCCTGCAGGGTCACACTCAGCCCTTCACTCTGCCCAGCTGTCCTTGCTCAGAACGCACTGACCTGTTCTGCACCATTTGGCCATCCAGCCTGTGACTGGCTGGTTCTGCTGAGCCCAGCTTGTGTGAGGCCAGGGCTGCCCCTGACTTGGTAGCCATCTCCTTCACAGAAGCACAGGCCCTCAGGAAAGAGGCAGCCTGGGATGTGCTGAGACCTCAGGGGTCTCCCTCTACCTGCATTTTGGTTGGACAACTTCTCTGTCACGTTGCTATCTGATGCTATCAGCAATATATGTGCATAGACAGGCAGCGACTCAACCTGCAGTCTCAGCATTCTGGGAGGCTGAGGTGGGATGATTGCTTGAGCCCAAGAGTTTGAGTTTGCAGTGAGCTGTGATGACGCCACTGCACTGTAACCAGGGTGACAGAGTGAGACTGTGTCTCAAAAAAACAACCAATATGTCTGTGTCTGATGGGCCAGGCAGGGTCTTGGACCTCTGCAGAAAGGCTGGTCCACCCAGGAGTCTCCTCTTCCTTCCCGGCCTGCCAGACAGGCCTCTGAGTAGTGCACCCCACCTGCTAGTGTCACCAGTGCCCCCACCTCTCATTTTGGGGGCCCTTTTTCTCCACTGGACCCCACCTGCCCCTCTTTCTGGGGTTTCCTGTCTTCTCAGGGGTCCTCAGTTGTGTCTTGGTGGCCTGGGGACCCTCAGCAGGCCAAGGATAGAGATGTCTAAAATAGGCTTGAATTGGCCTGGCCTGAACCTGGGGGAACTGAGGCTCCTGGAGACAGCATCTCATTTATTTTCTTTTTTGGAGATAAGTTTCACTTTGTTGCCCTCAGTAGAGTGCCATGGCATCATAGCACAGCAACCTCTAATTTTGGGGCTCAAGTGATTCTCTCGCCTCAGCCTCCTGAGTAGCTGGGACTGCAGGCACCCACCACAACACCTGGCTATTTTTAGAGATGGGGTCTCTCTGGCTCAGGCTGGTCTCGAACCTGTGAGTTCAGGCAATCTACCAGCCTCGGCCTCCCACAGAGCTGGATTACAAGTGTGAGCCACTGCACATAGCCCTGGAGACAGCATCTATGGCCCAGATGTGGTCTTAATGTATTAGGATCCAGAGTCTGGCTGGTTGCATCCAAACCCCTCTGCAGGTGGGGAGGTGGTGGAGTTCCAGGCAGGGCATGGCTATATATGTGGCTGGGGTGGCCTTGCTGGCAGGTGTCCGACCGCCTGGCATGGCTGTCCTATGGAGGGTGCTGCTTAGCACACACAGTGCCCAGGACAGCCCCGGGGCCGCCAAGCTACCCAGAGGTCTTTCACCAAGTCTGCACCTGCCATGCCTGGGGTCCTCTGGGTTGTAAGGGGCCGCTCAGGGCCTCTCCTGCCCTGGTGTGGGTGGCCATGTCACTCCTCTGCCCAGCCCCACTCCCAATCCTGATGGATTGCTCAGGAATGGACCTGGATGGGTGTGGGTACCTTGAAGGGTGCAGCCTCCCAAGTCAGGTCAGCCCTGGGGCTTTCAGAAGTGCCAAATTCCAGACCTAATCCCAAGATAGCACTCACTTGGCAGACTTTATTTTTTGGGAAAAACAGAAAAACAAGTGTACCTCTTGGAAAGGACCCCCTGACCACATGGCAAACATGTGGACAATAAATACGCATGTCCATTCAAGTATGTGGCAGCTGGCACGTTCTGAAGACCCTGTGCCCTGGAGTCCACGCTGTGCCCTCTTTGGAAGTGATGCCTCCACTCTCCCCTGCCTGAGCTCCCACCCGGCTCCCAGGCTATACCACAGGGCAGGGGTCCAGGCTCAGAGAGCAAGACCCACAGGCATAACCACTGGAGGGGCTGCCTGCAGCCCTGGGCGTGCTCAGAGGGTGGGCTGAGGCAGGGTCTAGATGGGAGCACACAGCCACTGTCTCTGAGGGGTCTGTCTGCAGAGGTGTCAGCAGGGGGCTGCCTGAGTCTCAGGTCCTGAGCTTGGTGCCCTGTGGTTTGACTCAGGTTTTCGGGGGACTGGACACCCCACAGGGAGGAGGCAGTGATGTCATCAGCCTCAGCTGATGGAGGAGGGTTCTCCTTTGGAGGGGGCTGGAAGGCTGAGTGGAGCCAAGCCCCTACCAGCTTTTGCAGACCCACCAACTTGGTGACAGTCGCTCTGGGCACAGATCTTGCTCGCCAGCATCCTCAACACTGCTCCCTGCCTGCATTTTGGCCTTGGGACATGGAGTATAGGAATATTGAGGCTCTCACCCCATCCTTCCCTCTGCTTAGAGACAGCCAAGTCTTTGTGAGTCCTTAGCTGGTGCAGGACATGGGCCAGGGCCTCTGGGGTGGGCCACCTGGTCTGGGGTGGGCTTTCTATGGCTGTCAACCTCCCCTTGCTCCAGCTGGGGCCGAGTTAGGGGACAGGCTCAGGCAGCCCTGCCCCAGGGACCAGGCCAGAGGGCACTGAGTGTGTCTGCCGAATGGCCATCCTAAGACCAGCTTTGGGAGACAGAACTGCCCATGTTGCTGGAATTCGGGGGGCATAGGGAGATGGCAGGGGTTTCACTTTTGGCAGGATGAGCCCAAGGAGTGGGTGCGGGGGGAGGACAGGAGGGTCTGGCCAACATGCAGAAGGCCAGGCCAGGCAGGGGCAGGGGTGAGGCTGGGCCCATCAGGATGGGAGCTTGCCCTCCTGCCATGGGCACTGCCAGCCTGCGCATGCCACATGGAGAAGAGGTGCCATGGACTGTACACCCAGCATTGCTGCAGTGGGGAGGACGTGGGCACAGTGCCTGCCCTTAGCCGTGGGCTCTGGAGGATTCAGCTTCTTGGGGAGCTGTGGGCACCATGGATCAGTATGAGCCCCTGGCATCTAGGAGTGGGCATGAGGCCTTAGCTGGCACCAGGCTGGCACTGCTGTGGGGTCACGGGTGGCCCACCCGCCTCCTGCTCCGGGCTCACGGCAAGGTCCACCCTCTGCTCGTCCATGCGCTTGGCCTGCACCCTCTGGATGAGGCTGAAGAAGTCCTCATCTGGCATCGTAGGACCTCGGGGGAGCACGTCAGGTGGGGGGCAGCGCTGGTCATCAATCCTGGAGGACTGAGCGGACACACACAAAGTTGGTAGTCTTGGGAAGGGGTTCACACCCAACGACTCTGGAGAGTTAATCTGCATGGCTGATGGGCTGCTGTGTCCACCTGGGAAATCAGCTCCAGGGCCACCTGCCTCTGGGGTCATATATTGGGAGCTCTGACCCTGAGAGCAGTCTTTCCCCAGCGGCCAGGCTGGCTGCCCAGCAAGGTGAATTGAACGATGATACCTTCTGGGTGTGGGGTAAGCCAGACCCAGGAGGCAGCTGCTGGGGCAGTCCCCCTGGTTTGCTCCCCACACCTGCTCACCCCCAGGGACAGACATAGCATGGCTGTTCCTCAGCACTGCCCTGGATGCTGGCACAGCTGGGGCTGCCCCTGGCAGGCCTGGGGACTGCAGCTTACAGAGCCATAGTGTGGCCTCCCTTGGGTCGGTGGTTGAGGCTATGGGCTCTGCCTGCCCTGGCATGGAGGCCAGGAGCCTGAGGGGACATCTGGGCTTCTCTGCAGAGCCTGGAGCAGAAGGGCCAGGAGCCGGCACAGCTGTGGGCGCATGCATGCGTGTGGATGGGGGGCTCTGGGCTTCTCAGGAGGGGCTGGACTCGAGGCAGCTTGTTGAGTGCCTGGCCCAGGGCTGTGGTTTCCTTCCCGCTGTAGGAATGGAAATCTGCTTGCTTTGTGCTTGGGCAGGCCCCCCACCCCCACCCCAAGCCACCTACTATGCCTCGTGATCCTGAAGTCCCCACCTGTTGTTCTGCCCTACCCTGGATGGCAGGTGGCTAGACCCTGCAGTGACAGTGAGACCAGACCCCCAGGCTGGTGAGGAGGATGCTTCTGTGAGGCCCCCCAGCTAGGGCCCTCCCCTGGCTCTGCTGCCCACATTGAGGGCTACATGGTCCCAGCCTGTGCCCTGCCAGTGTCTAGCAGCCCCAGGTTTCCCCACCCGCATCTGGAGGTGCTGTTATGCATTGGGTGGGGATCTCTGAGGCCACAAACTTTGGATCTGGCAACCCCCAACCACAGCTCTGAGCTCCTGTGCTGTAAGGGGCTGCCCAGCCTGAGGCTGCCTTGGGGTTGCCTTTTTGAGGGGCTCTTGTCTTGCCAGCAGATGGGGACTCCCAGAAAGAAGGCTTCAGGTCTGAGTACCTGTGGTCGTCCAGTGACACTGCTGAGCCAGCCCTGACCACCAACCTGTGGCTCCACCCTCCTGGGCATCCCTCAAACATGGCAGGGAACAGAGGGACTGGAGCCCACACACAGGGGGCCCCTTGAGGTGCCTCCACCACAGCCCATGAAGGGGCTATGAGGCACAGGGGGGCTGGCTGGACAGATAGGATGAGCCCTACCTGCCCGGCGGCAGGCCCACCTGGTACTTGATGAGCATGTTGAAGAACTCGTCCCCGGGCTCCTGCGGGTCCCCGTCACCACGGAGGTGCCCTACGTTGTTGTGTGTGATGCGCAGCCCAGGCAGGCTGCCCACACTGGCCCGCTGGTCGTCCAGCCGGCGGCTCTGGGAACTGGCGATGAGGTCGAAGAACTCTTCGGTTTGGGGGGAGGCTGTCACCGTGGGTGGAGCTGTAGGGGCAGAGGGCGAGGCCTGGGGCACCCTGCGGGCTGTGCTGGGGGCCACCGGCTGGTAGCTGACCTCTGAGCCCACTGCCCTGTGTCCCTGGGGAAATGGGTACCTGGGAGCTTCTCAGCTGGCTGGCCCCAGGGCTGGGGACTTTACAACTTTGAGGCAGCTTCTGTGCCCTGGCCCAGTGTGTTCTGGGGCAGGGGTGGAGGTGGAGGTGTGGTTGTGGGGGTTGGGGGTGATCACAAGCTTCCTGGCAGGAGGTGCATGCCCTGCTGGCCTGTCCCGCCCTCACGGGAGGAGGGCACACTCACCGGTCCTGTCCCCTAGGCCCTCAGCAGCCCCGGCTTGCCCCTCGTCCAGGGGGCAGCGCTGGTCGTCCATGCGGCTGCTCTGGAACCTGCTCAGCAGATCAAAGAAGCCCTCCTCATCCGAAGATGGGGCCCGTGGGATGCTCTGCGGAGGGAATGGGCTGCTGCAGCAGAGCTGGCCCCTCGGACCTCTGGACACTGTGCCGGCCACACGCAGGTGGGAAGCCCAAGCCACAGTCAGGATGCTGAACTGTCCCTGTGGCCAAGCCTTCCCCAAGATAGCTGCCCTTGGCTCCCACCCACCCAAAACCTTCCCCTTATCTGCTTCCTACGTGCTTCTAGCCCCCCCCCCGGCTGCCACCCACCCTCCCAGCCTCAGCCTGGAATAACCCTATCTTATCCAGGAGCCTCCTGCGCCCCTGCCCCATCACATCCACTGTCAGCCCCTACAATGAGCTCCCTGTGTCTGCGCATGTAGCACCCCACTTGCTGGTGTCTGCCCAACAAGCCAGGGACCTTGGAAGGAGTGCCCCCACCTGGCCTCAGTTTACACATCTACCCTGGGGGAGAAGTTCGGGGGCTCCTGGGCATCTGGGGGTGGGCAGAGTAGAGCATTCCTCCCTGCTAGGGTTGGCAGGTGACAGGCTCTGCCTGGCCCCAGTCTGTCCATCTCACAGCAAGTTGCCTCAGAGCTCCACAGAGCTGGGCTCATACAACCCAGGAAGGAATGAACAGGAGAAGCCGTGCCAGCACAGATGTCACCTTCTGGGTGCTGGACATAGCCTGAAATACACAACACCTGAGCTTCCTGCCACCAGTCCGTCACACAGAGGACAGTAAGGCACAGGCTATGTGGCCTGCCAGGACCACACAGGAGGAACTGAGGGCCCCACGGGTGACCCTGTTTGAGGACTGGGCCCAGGCTATTGGGCAGCAATGTCTCTGAGGGCAAAAGGGACCCAGCTGCTAGTGACATGAGTGGAGGGGGTAGCCACATCAGCAGGCAGCAGCACCAAGGTCACCCCTGGGGGGCAGGCCCCAGGCCAAAGCTTGGGAGGGAGAATTGCAGCCTTTCCATGGTGAGGCCAAGAGGGAGGGGAAAGTGGATGCCGAGGGCCATGTGCTCGTGGGCTTGGGCTCAAGGACCCTGCAGTCTGCATAGGGCCATACAGGTACCCCCCGGGAGGCCCAGGGGGAACTGCCCCTGGCTCTTAGGGCCACAGTGGCTAGAGTAGCTGTGGGCAGCCCCAGGTGCAGCCAGGGGTGGGGTGAACTCAGCATAGCCTGTTTCAGGGGACAATTGTGGTTCTAAGCCCCTAGCCCCTGAATCTGGCCTGAGCTGGACTCCAGCAGGTGGAGCCAGAAAGCTGGGCAAGGCCCCTCCTGGAAAGGGACAGGCAGGACCACGGGGTCTGGAGTGCATCTCCCAGGGCTGAGTGACCTGGAAAGTGCCCTGTGGTCTCTCCCAGCCCCAGCCTGCATAGCCATGTCCCCAGTACCACAGCAGAGCCCCTCTCCAGGTCTAAGGCCTGGCCACGCTAATGCCCTCCTCTGTGTGCAGCTGGGGGCCTAAGACCCCTGGGGCAAAGTCCTCAGCTCAATGCCAGTACAGGGCGAGGCTCCAGACAGCACCAGGCCCCCTGAGGCCCCTAAAGAGCAGGACCCTGACCCTCAGGACACACTCGGGGGGGGGGGCTTGGGTCTCCTTCCCCCCTGCTCCAAGCTGACTTCTCTTCCTGTCCTAAACCCTGGCTCTGTCCTTCCAGAAGGTCTCAGGGTTCCTTCTGTGAGCCCCACTTCTTCTCCTTCCTTTCACAGAGTGAAAGCTCTGTGTCTCTGTGCAGGGGGGAAATAGACCCTAGTCTAGTCCACCCACCTCAGCTTTGCAGCCCCACCTATCAGAGACAACAAGGGCCCCACACTCACGCTGGCCACAGGCTCCCTCCACGACAGCACCAGGAGCTACGCAGGGCGCAACTTGGGCAGGACGCCAAGAAACCCACTGCCACCTCAATGCCAGGACCCGCGGCGTTGGCCCGAGGCTTAAATAGGACCCTGGGTGACAGCACCCGCCCTCACTCACTTGAATGTGCACACACACGCATGCTCACACACGCACACAGGCGGGCTCTGTAAACACTGAGATGGATTCCCCCCTTGTGGCCTGTGGGCGGTCACACCAGAGGGCCTATCTGAAAAGCACTTTTCCTTCTCTGACATTAGTGTCCCGGGACCAGCCAGGGGAGGTTGCCTCCCTCTTCAGCGGGATTCCCCAGGCAGGCCACTGAGAGTCAAGGGTTGCCTTCTTCCTGGACCTCTTGTGCTACCCATGCTGGCCCTCCCTGCTCCAGAGCCTCACTGGGCCCCACTGCTCTGGCCTTGATGTCTTCCAAGCCCAGCTCGACTCCAGCTGTCTCTCTGGCTAGGCCCATTCCAGAACACTCCAAGCCCTGCGCACATTGTCCCCACCTTCTGAGGCCAGCCTGCTTCCTACCCCCTGCCCCAGGATGAGTTCTCTGAGCCCCTCATACCATACCCAGCCACACCTCCTTGGACCCCAAAGCCCTGTCCGGACTGCTGCAAGGCCCTTGTGTGCAGCCTAGGCTCAAGGCTGGGAGACTCAGGGCTGGCCTGTCAACAACAGTGATAATACAGTACCAGTGATGGCTGCATTTATTTATTTTTTTTTTGAGACAGAGCCTCAAGCTGTCCCCCTGGGTAGAGTGCCGTGGCATCACAGCTCACAGCAACCTCCAACTCCTGGGCTCAAGTGAGTCTCCTGCCTCAGCCTCCCAAGTAGCTAGGACCACAGGCACCCACCACAACACCTGGCTATTTTTTGGTTGCAGCCATCATTGTTGTTTGGCAGGCCTGAGCTGGATTCGAACCCGCCACCTTAGGTGTATGTGGCTGGCGCCTTAGCCGCTTGAGCCACAGGCGCTGAGCCATGGCTGCATTTTAGATGAGAAATGACTCTGAGACTCAGAGGTGAAGGTCCTCATGAGAACACTGAGCAGAGGTACACGAGGACCCTACCTGGCTATTAACCTCCCCTGATGAGTCCCCAATCTACCCTCACTGCAGTCCCCATGCAGGTTGCAACCTGGGAATTGACAGTCCTTCCTCTGGGTCACCAAGGGCCCTGACCTCAGGGATGACAACAGGGATTGATTACTAGGTGGCATGAAAGGCCACCAAGCCACAGTGCTGATAGCTCAGCTGTCCCCAAGTGTCGTGCCCTGTGAGGTGGCAGCAGGGGTCAGGAGAACAGGACCCACACCAGGTGGAGTCTCCTTAGGCACTGGCTGGTGCCCCCAGACTGTCTGCTCTGAAGCTTATACCTGAAATGGTGTCCCCTGGGCCTGCCAGCCCACGTCCAGGGGAGTTTGCTAGGGGCACACAAAGCTTGGGGCACGTGAGCCTGGGTTTTCAGGAAAACTGTCTGCACCTCCGAGGCCTCAGAGCTGACTAGCCTTGGCCCAGCCCAAATGCGCTGCCGGCCACCTGCTTATCAGCCCAGATGTGACAGACAGAGGTAGTCCTGCCCTTCCCACCAGGCTCAGAGTTGCTGCATGGAGACCACCCGGGAGCACCCACTGGAGGGCCTGACTGGGGGTCCCCATAAGCCCTCCCCCCGTGTCTCATGCCAACAGACAAACCCTGGCCAGCAGTCAGGCCTACAGGGCTGCGCTGGGGTTGAGTGAGTCAGGAGGACACTGTCCCAGGCTGGTGGGAAGGACGGGCTCCCACAGCCCTGCAGGCTGCCCACACTATATAGGATGGGAAAGTGCTGATTAAGCCCACGGAAGGAATTTTTTTTTTTTTTTTTTGAGACGGAGCCTCAAGCTATCCCCCTGGG